AGAGAAGGCGCGGCTGTGGCGGGCCGCTCCTCAGATCAGGCGTCGCGGATAAACTCGGTGAAGCCAAGCTCCCTGGCGAGGGCCGTGGCTTCCCTCCTGCACCGCTTCGTGCGCGCGGCAAACTGCTCCAGCTGCTTACGCAAGCCCTCCGGCGGCCCGGCCAGGAAGAACTCGATGCGCGGCGCCCGCATGAGCAGGAGGTCCTCGTGGCGCGTGGCGCGCGAGAGCAGCACGTAGAGCTCCAGCCACCAGTCGTCGTCCTCCTTCTTGCCGTTCCCGACCTCGTGGCGACCGCAGTCCAGGATCACGCCTGGGCGATGTCGGCCGAGGGAGCGGTGCGCCAGGCAGCCGACGGCCCAGGGCAGCGAGAGTCCACCAGACCGAGGTCTGGCTGCGGACTACTCGCGCCCCCGAGGTCTGGCCGTCCCCAGAGCGCCGTTCCCCCGCCCCGTCGCCTTCTCGCATGGTGCGCCCCTGGCACGCCACCGTGGTGATGACCCTGCCGTGCGAGAACGGGAAGCCCGTCCGGGTGACCTTGGAGGTGCGGAAGGTGAACGGCTCCGACGTGCGGGGCTCGATGAACACCAGCGGACCCGCGAGGTCCCCGTGAGGCTGTCGTCGTGGCGCTGCAGGTCGGCCACGAAGGGCGCGCTCGCGTACTTCTCCATGCGCACCCAGAACCCCAGCGGCAAGCGCTTCAGGTAGATCCTCTTCTCCCCCTCTCTCTCGGCTCTCTCGACGTCGTCCCGATCCCGAGGGTCCACGACGATGTGCACGATCTGCCCCTCGGCGTCCTTGACGAGGCCGTTCTTGAGGTCGAGCGCCTCCAGGAGCCGGATCCGCATGCCCACGTGCACCGGGAGCAGTCCGTGCATGCCACCGGTGTTCTTCGGGTTGGCACAGTTCATCATCTTGGCGGCGTCCTTGACGTTCATCGTCGGGGCAGACCTGTCGGCGGCCTGCACAAGGAAGAGGGGCTTCTTCAGAACGTCCGCGTCCCGCTGAGCACGCATGTTCATCCACCGCGCCACGGTGTCCCAGTAGGACCCGATCATGTGGCCGTTCTGGAACCTCTCCTCCCGGAGCCGGCGGTCATCGGGTTTCAGCTGCATTGCGTTCCACGTGGCCCGGATGGCCGCAGGGACCTGCTTCCCCGGTTTGCGCAGGAACGCCATGAGATCCCGGAGCTTCGTGTCCTTGAAGCGGTTGGACGCCTGGAGCTCGAAGACCAGCGGCGTGTTGCAGAACATCTTCATCACGGCCTGGTACTCTGGAGCGAGGTTAATGCCCGCCGCCGCCAGTTCCGCGAAGCTGGAGATGAGCGAAACCTTGCCTCCCGTCGGCTTCAGCTGCAGGAAGTCTCCCAGGTGGATCACGATGGGCATCCGGCCGAAGGCTCCGCCGACCTGGTCGTGCTCCCGCTCCTCCGCGCCCCACTCGGCCTTGCGTCCCAGGTGTACCGAAATGAGTGTGCGGGACGCATGCGGGCACACACACTGGGACCTTCGGTGGAGCTCCCTATGAGGCCACGCGTGAGGGGTGTGCCGAAATGTGCCACGAAACGAAACGTGAGGGGTGTGCCGAAATGGAGTGGGCGGGACGCATGCGGGCACACCACTGGGACCTTCGGTGGAGCTCCCTATGGGGCCACGAAACGTGTGAGGGGTGTGCCGAAATGGGTGTGCGGGACGCATGCGGGCACACCCACTGGGACCTTCGGTGGAGCTCCCTATGGGGCCACGAAACGTGTGAGGGGTGTGCCGAAATGGGTGTGCGGGACGCATGCGGGCACACCCACTGAGACCTTCGGTGGAGCTCCCTATGGGGCCACGAAACGTGTGAGGGGTGTGCCGAAATGGGTGTGCGGGACGCATGCGGGCACACCCAGTGGGACCATTGGTGGAGCTCCCTATGGGGCCACGAAACGTGTGAGGGGTGTGCCGAAATGGGTGTGCGGGACGCATGCGGGCACACCCACTGGGACCTTCGGTGGAGCTCCCTATGGGGCCACGAAACGTGTGAGGGGTGTGCCGAGATGGGTGTGCGGGACGCATGCGGGCACACCCACTGGGACCTTCGGTGGAGCGCCCTATGGGGCCTCGAAACGTGTGAAGGGTGTGCCGAAATGTGTGTGGGGGACGCATGCGGGCACACTCACTGGGACCTTCTGTGGAGCTCCCTATGGGGCCACGAAACGTGTGAGGGGTGTGCCGAAATGGGTGTGCGGGACGCATGCGGGCACACCCACTGGGACCTTCGGTGGAGCTCCCTATGGGGCCACGAAACCTGTGAGGGGTGTGCCGACATGGGTGTGCGGGACGCATGCGGGCACACCCACTGGGACCTTCGGTGGAGCTCCCTATGGGGCCACGAAACGTGTGAGGGGTGTGCCGAAATGGGTGTGCGGGACGCATGCGGGCACACCCACCCTTCGGTGGAGCTCCCTATGGGGCCACGAAACGTGTGAGGGGTGTGCCGAAATGGGTGTGCGGGACGCATGCGGGCACACCCACTGGGACCTTCGGTGGAGCTCCCTATGGGGCCACGAAACGTGTGAGGGGTGTGCCGAAATGAGTGTGCGGGACGCATGCGGGCACACGCACTGGGACCTTCGGTGGAGCTCCCTATGGGGTCACGAAACGTGTGAGGGGTGTGCCGACATGGGTGGTGATAATGATGATGACGACAGATGATGATGACGATGACGATGATGGGGATGATGACGATGATGATGAAGATGGGAGGAGGGAGGGGGCAGCGGGAAGGAAGGAACGCGGGGCGCTGTCTCTTCAAAACGAGGACCCAACACCACAGGATGGTTGGGAACAAAAGACATAATTATCCTGGCGAGGGACCCAACCATGTGTAGTTGTGAATAACGCAGCTGTGGGTATCGACCTCTGTGAACCTCTCTGGGGTCACGACGCGTGTGACGGGTGTGCCAAAAATGGCACGGGTACGCCATGCGGACGCTGCCACCAGAGCCGTCGGTGGAGCACCCTATGGGGCCACGAAACGTGTGAGAGGTGTGCCGAAATGGGGGTGGAACTGCATGCGGACCCTGCCACTGGGGCCTTCGGCGGAGCACCCTTATGGGGCCACGAAACGTGTGAGGGGTGTGCCCAGATGGGGGGGTGGAGCCGCACGCGGACCCTGCAACTGGGGCCTTCGGTGGAGCTCCCTATGGGGCCACGAAGCGTGTGAGGGGTGTGCCGAAATGGGGGTGCAACCGCATGCGGCCCCCTGCAACAAGGGCCTTCGGTGGAGCACCTTATGGGCCACGAAACGTGTGAGAGGTGTGCCGAAATGGGGGTGGAACTGCATGCGGACCCTGCCACTGGGGCCTTCGGTGGAGCACCCTATGGGGCCACGAAACGTGGGAGGGGTGCGCCGAAATGGGGGTGGAACTGCATGCGGACCCTGCCACTGGGGCCTTCGCAGCAGCACTGCCAAGGGGTGCGCCGAAATGGGGGTGGAACTGCATGCGGACCCTGCCACTGGGGCTTTCGGCGGAGCACCCTGTGGGGCCACGAAACGTGTGAGAGGTGCGCTGGACTGGAAGTGGAACTGCATGCGGACCCTGCCACTGGGGCCCTGGGTGGAGCACCCTATGGGGCCACGAAACATCTGAGGAGTGCGCCGAAACGAGGGTGAAACTGCATGCGAACCCTGCCACAGGAGGCCTCCGGCGGAGCACCCTATAGGCCCTATAGGGCCACGAAACATGTGAGGGGTGCGCCGAAATGGGGGTGGAACTCAATGCGAACCCTGCCGCAGGGGGCCTTCGGTGAAGCACCCTATAGGTCCACAAAGCATATGAGGGGTGTGCCGAAATGGGGGTGGAACTCAATGCGAACCCTGCCACTGGGGCCTTCGGCGGAGCACCCTATGGGGCCACGAAGCGTGTGAGGGGTGCGCCGAAATGGGGGTGGAACTGCATGCGGACCCTGCCATTGGGGCCTTCGGCGGAGCACCCTAGAGGGTCATGAAATGTGTGATAGGTGCGCCGAAATGGGGGTGGAACTGCATGCGGACCCTGCCACTGGGGCCTTCGGCAGAGCACCCTATAGGGGCCACGAAACGTGTGAGGGGTGCGCCGAAATGGAGGTGGAACTGCATGCGGACCCTGCAACTGGGGCCTTCGGTGGAGCACCCTATGGGGCCACGAAACGTGTGAGAGGTGTGCCGAAATGGGGGTGGAACTGCATGCGGACCCTGCCACTGGGGCCTTGGGTGGAGCACCCTATGGGGCCACGAAACGTGTGAGGAGTGCGCCGAAATGGAGGTGGAACTGCATGCGGACCCTGCCACTGGGGCCTTCGGTGGAGCACCTTATGGGCCACGAAACGTGTGAGGGGTGCGCCGAAATGGGTGTGGAACTGCATGCGGACCCTGCCACTGAGGCCTCCAGCGGAGCACTCTATAGGGCCACGAAATGCTGTACTAGGCGGGTGAAACGCAGGGAGGAGGGAGTCGGGGGAGGAGGGAGGGGGGCAGCGGGAGGAAGGTGGGAACGCGGGGCGCTGTCTCTTCAAAACGAGGACCCAACACCACAGGATGGTTGGGAACAATAAGGAACAACGATCCCCTTCCGAAAGCCAAGCGGCCTGGTTTCGGAGTGCCTTTTCAATCGGCCCTCCTGAAAACTCGCGAAGTCGGATCGGATCGGAAACGGATCTTGAGCGAACCTCCTGGAATCGACTTGAAATCGTATCGCCGCGCTCGGGTCTGGGTCCGGCTGGCCCTGGCCGATGCCGGTGAACTGAGCCGACCTAGATCGAATCGGAACAACGGTCCCGGCCCGCGAGTCGAATCGCATCGAATCGGATCGCAGGCGGCCCAGGCTGGCCGCGCGGAAGGCACCCCAGACATGCGATGTCTTGACTCCTTCAATGCGGGTCTCTGGGAGTCGGACGGTCTGGGGGCCCGGCGAGGGCTCCCAAGGGCCGAGAACAGCCAAGGACCCCCCCGTTGTGAGAATGTCAAGGACGAGCGCGGTCCTCAGGCGGCTCTGTGACGGTCATCGCCACCCGGCGGCAGAGCTCGCCTCCAGGCACGAGCGTGACCGAGGACGGAGCGACCGGTCTCTGGAGGGCGGCGACGGCCGCCTCAAGCTCGTGGCCCGCGGCCTTCGGGGATCGGAAGACCCCTATCATCCACCTCAAGATCGGCGCGCGTGCAATTGCAATTCGTGCCCTCCTTGAAGAATGTGGAACTTGCCGCACTGGCCTTCCAGATGTTCTTTGTTGAAATATTGTGCGTTTCAAAAACTTTCTGCTAGACTCCCGTTGCTGAAGACATGACGTGGCGCTTATAGTTGTGACGGGACTACAATTAAACTCCCTGTGCGAATGGGCTATAGATGTTTCTTTTGCGGCGGGCTTTCAACAGGAATTCCCTGTGTGAAGGAACTGGAACCACCTATTTGTTGTAACTACCCCACAGCAGGGAATACCTCAAAAGACAAATTAAACATATAACAAGCTCTCGTCCAACTAGACTGGGCAGGGACCCCCGCGGAGAGCTTGGCCCGTCAGGGCTGTGCAGATGATAACGCACCCGTGCCAACAATTTCACGCGACACAATCACGTCAGTCCTCGAACTTACCCAAGTCAGTGCCACTGGCCAGCTGGCCGCGATCCCAGCCTGAGTTCTGGTGCGGCCAGCGTGGTCGCCACCTCGGCGGCCTCGAAACACAACTGCCCACGGGTGGTGGTCGAGGGTGGCAGCGCTTGAGGCCCCCCCCCTTTCCCCTGCCAGCCTCTCCCGCCTCCCAAAGAGGTAACTGACAGCTCTAGTCCAGATAGACCGGCCGGGGCCCCCTGCGGAGAGCTTGGCCCGTCAGGGCTGCGCAGATGATAACGCACTCGTGCCAACAATTTCACGCGACACGGGCACGTCAGTCCTTAAAATTTACCCCAGTCAGTGCCGCTGGCCAGCTGGCCGCGATCCCAGCACGAGTTCTGGCGCGGCCAGCGTGGTCGCCACCTCGGCGACCTCGAAATGCAACTGCCAACCCCGCTTTCCAAACGGACGGGCGGGCGGGCACGCGAAGCTCAGCGAGCCCCTCTCACCCACATCCTCGAACAAAGCTCTCACGACCATATACACGCCGCAACGCGAGTGACCGACACTCCTCGGGAGGCAGCGTCAGCCTCTGAGATATCGCTGCGCCCAGCCACCGACGATGCAGCCAGAGCATATTTGGCCCAGCCCTTGTACTTTGGCTGCAGCAGCACCCGCGGTGGCGACGCAACCAGAGTCGTAGCCGGCGGCGTCGGCAACATAGCGTCGGCAACGGTCTCGACAATGTCAACTGCCTCTGACTGCAACTGCTCTGGGATGTTGTCAAGCATTTGAATTCTCTTGTCCAATGCCATCTCTGCGGTCTTCTCGAACACTGTATCAGCCAGAACTACTGACGCCTGAACTGCTGGCACGACGAACTCAACGGCATGGTCGAGGCGCGCTGAGAAATTGTCCCATGCGGTGAAGCGTTCTGCATTGCCACAACCACTAGCTCAGCCACGTCTTGGATCCTGGTCGCTGCAGTGGAGACAGCGTCGGCACCGCGCCAGCCCAGACGATAGACACTGGCCAGCGAGCGGTCCGCAACGTGCTCCACCATGCCAAGGATGAGGCTCGCCACACAGTCCAACACCAGATCAGGCCGATAGAACAGCATGACGCACACGATGCAAAGGAACGGACCGAACAAGGATTTGAAGTAGCGGCCGCCAAAGATGCCCTGGGCGAGGTCGCCCAGCCACAGCAGGCGCAGGAGAGACCACCAGGCGCCCGCAGAAGCTGACCAGGACAGCACGAGCGCCCAGCGCGAAGGCTGGGCACCCTTGCCAGCACTAGCAGCCTCAGCGAGGTACCTGGGGCCAACGGCGACCAGCGCACCCTTGGGGCCCCCAGCCTCGCCGCCATCCTTCATGGGGCCCCTCGCACATCACCTCGAGCATGACAGCGCCCAACTCCTCCAAGGCCTGAAGCGCCCGAGTGCAAGCCCGCAGGGCTTCCAAAGGATGCGATTGACTCTGTCGAGAGGTGACTTGCTTCGCATAATCCTAAATCCCGCCGAAGACTGTAGCAACAGACTCTCCAAACGCTGTCTGCCCCGCGGCCGCCTCGACTTTGCCCGCCGCCCCCGGCAAGTTCGTCGCCGAAAGCCCGAGGCGCGCCGCCGAAGGCTTAGGCGCGGGGCGGCCCGACGTCCAGACAACGAAACTGAGTCCGGACGTGATCGAAAGCACTGGCAATCGCAGGCTCGAGATCGAACAAAGCTGCGGCGGCTTTGGCCTCCTGCGCGCAGTGCGCAAGAGATCTCTCAGACACCCATCTCCCGCGAATCTTTGCCCAAGCAATGTGTCTTCCTCTTAAAGATCCAAGAGCGCGCCCAGAGCCTCAAGGAAGGCCTTCCCGCAATCCCCAGGCCGTCGGTAAAACCGAAAGGCATTGCTATCGGGGGGCGATAGGCATCGCAAGTACAACATCTGAATGCGAAAAGACAGGGAGCTATTCTTTGATGGCCGAGGGCTCGACCGATCACATCCGTCCAAAGAACAGCGAGGCACAGACGAAACTCGGCGTGCATTGAAAACTCCCGAGCTCGGCGTCCCACATCGCGCATATGTGGGTCTCTGGGCAGAATGCCAGAACGAAAAGAACACAGGAGCGTTGGGCGGGCACAGCGACCTGGCGTTAGCCAAGGAAGCTAGTGTAATCAGCAGCTCATATGTGAGATAGCACCGCAGCGGGGAACAGGTCGGCAGACCGATTCGTCCTCGCGATCTGATGTGAGTCCAGCTTGGCGCACTGCTTCAACAGTTTGGCGTGGCGCTCGTGCCGCGTCACTCCTTTTGGCGGCCCAGCGCCCGCGGCGCCTGACCTGCTCGAGATCGCCGTACTTGTGATAGATATCGTGAGACGGACCAGTACGCCGCACCGCGCGCGGAGTGACCCCCAACTTGGCGCACCCCAGCTCCTTCACATAATCGCGAAAGTCCCGCTCGTACTGCGCGAGCGCCAAGCCGGGGAACAGCGGCGTCGCAGGATCGGCGGCGGCGCAGGGAGCGCGGGGGCCTGTCTGGAAGGCCCGTCGCGAAGCCCGAGCCAGCAGCGCGGTCGCCACCGTCGGCGCCCACTGCCGCGACGGGCTACCCAGCGCCACCGAGTCGTCTACCTGGCCAGTGGTCACAAACCCGAGCTCCGCGGGCGCGAAAATCACGCCCCAATCGCGCGACGGCGAGCCTCGGGCACCGTGGGCAGGCGGCAGCAGGTTACCGACGGCCAACTCGATGCTTCCCGAATCGCCCAGCTGCAGCGCCAGGCAGGCGGCGCTATCACCACGCCCATGCTGCGTCATCCAGAGGCCCATGTCGAGCAGCACCTCCTGGGGGGCGGGATCCTTCACGACCTCCTTCGACCTCTTGGCCCAGCCAGCCAGCGCGCGTTCAACAACGCCGAGCTGGGACCTCTCCCGCTCGCAGTTGTCGGAGCGCAACGACGGGTGCCCGGAGCAGACAGAACGGCCGATGGACGTCCCACAGCCACGCTGATACATACGGAGAAAATGCCATCGCATCGTGACCCCGGTGCTCTGTTTGCTGGTGGGCCGCTGGCGCTCGTCAGCTCGCTTGAAAAAAATCAACAACAAAAAAAGGCTGACACTCCCGGCGATCGATGTCCTTTGACTCCTCGCCTGCCGTTCTCCCCCGGAGAACGCTTTCAGGCGGAACTGAGGCTCGCCCCACCACCTCCCGCCGGCGGCGGGCCTGCTGACTCCGGGGCCCAGGCCGGTGGAAGCCTGCCGAACTTGAGGCGGCGGGAGGGCGCCAGCTGCTCGCTGGCCGACGAGACTAAGAAGAGCTTCGTTACACGGATCAAACGACGGATTCTGTGGTCCAGGAGAGGACTCGCTGCATCAGCCTTTTCTCTGTATGCAGCTTTCTCCCTCTCAACCTTCTGCTGAGAGTCTAACACCTGTTGTTCAGCTATGCTCTGGATTCTCAATCTTTCAATCTCCTCTTGAGCAAGGCGCCGTTGGGCTTCGTCTGAAACTCCTGCTACGTTGGCCTCAGCGTGCTGTATCTGTTTCTGCGCATGTTCCACAATGCTGGTTTTCTCATGTTCCATATGTTGTGCCACTGCCTGCCTCTCAGCCTCGGAAACTGCATGCATTCGTGGAGCCTCTTCGGCGGCTTTCGTATTGTCCTGCGCCTCAAAGATGATATGTTGCATGTGTGCGCTCGCAGCCCTCAGCTGTTCCCGATCCTGTCTATTTCTCTCCGCCCGCTCGTGAATCGCGACACGGTGGCAGTTGTGCTCTTCCATCGTGATGCACTCCTCGCAAAGCCATGCCGAACTACACTTGGGGCAAACATTCGAACGTTGGGAACGCACTGGCCTTCTACATGACCCCCCCCCGGTTTGTGCGCTTTCCCCGGGCATTGATTCTCCGGCCGAGTGGGGCACGTGGGCCTGGCGTTCCAGCAGCGCCCCCGTATCGAGTTGCTGCTGGTGGTTCTGTTCGATGACATCCGCGCCGATTCAAAAAGATTGAACCCCCTGGAACTGGAACGTGCGGCCCCGGGGGCCTTACTCGAACGCCCCCTTTGCACTGCTGGGGGAAGGCGTGTGTTATTCTCTTGTTCTCGCACTCCTCTTGATGATATAAACGTCCATGCTCTGCGTTAAATCGTCTCTTTCGTCCTGCATTACGAGCTCATCAAGTTCTGGTACCCTGTCCCTGTCTGTCCCTGTCAGTCCTGGGCCATGCGAGTTCTGGTCTGCAGAAACCCTGCAATCAGGGCGAGGTATTCAAGTCATCGTTCTCATCCTTCGGTTTCTTCGTCAGTGGATGGGGAGTCATGCCTGTAGTTTCTCGCGCATTCCTCACTGCACGCGCTGCGTCCCGGTAGCTCGACATCGGCTGTGCCGACGGGCATCCACTTCGGTCTGGGCTTCCTCCGTCTGTGAGATCGTCGTCCGAATCAAGAACTGCCTTCTGACTGGCCTCAACCGTTACATGGTCAATCGTCGCACTCACGAACGGGCATGAGCCTGAGGCGAGCCCGATACACCGGTCGGGGAAACGATTGAAATGATGCGATGGACCAGGCGAGGTGTGGAATCGGGCATATTCTTCGTTCTTTTCAATCGAATGAGAACTACCCCCTTCAGATTGCAAGTCGCTCATCTCCTCGCTATGTCAATGCAGTGAGCACTGCGCCGCATGTCCTGCGCCTAGGATTTCGGCGCCCGACATTCCGATGGGGGTGTGATCCAACAACTCTTCCATCTCAAAATCTATGTCGATGGATGGATGGAAGCCAAGGTGTACCGACACCAACTCAGATGATCCCTCGGCGGAAGTTTTGGCTGTGCCATACCTTCCGCCCGAGGATTGCGCTCTGGATCTTGTCGTCGAATCAACCGATGAATTCCCCTCTGCCAAGTCAAACGCAGTCTCTGATGTTTGTTTCCTGGGAAGGTTAAGAGGAATTCGTCGCCTTGTTGCGGCGCCTATCGTTGCGATGCGCTCGGAAGGGCATCGGTCTTCTGTTCGTCCGAACGCTTCTTCTTGTGATCCCATGCTCTGCGAAACTAACGGCTGTGCCGTCGTTTCGGCGGATAACCAATCTTTTGCCTGGAGATTCATGATCCCTGCAAGATGTTCCGATACTAAATCAGGGTCAGTGGTCCCCGCCGATGACATGGGGAAGAAGAAACAATGCCGTCAAGCATACACTAAGGTAACACTGGAGGGAGGAGGCCGGCCCGCCTGCCGACGCACGCGCGCGCGCCGCAGGCTCGCTCCTTTTCCGTTTCCGTAGAGCCAAAGTGGTATAGCTGCGGAAGCAGACTCAGTCAGTCAGTACGTCGGGCAGTGCGCGCAAGGAGAAAGAGCAGGCAGGGCGAAAGGTTGGTGGTGCGGAAGGGGTGCATTGACTAGATGGCCTCATCTGCCCCGCCACCTCTAACGCCACCACTGAAACGTCTCGATCCATGCGTGACGCGCCTCACAGGCCAGCACCCCCCCCGTGCTGCGCAGGGCAAGTAAGCCCAACGCGCGGAATAGCGACTGCGCGGCAGCCACACATTGCACAACCTCTCACAAATAATGGACGCTTCCCATGAGCGCGACGTTGCGTCACCACCTCTGAAATCTTTCAGTGACATCTCTACGCATGCAACCCAGCGGGAAGTGGCAAGCAAAACACATGCAAAACCAAAAGCCGCACACCTCCTATTCTGAGGGCTGGCGGAATGGAATGGGCCTTTTGAATACATTCCTTCTGTCCGTTCCTTCCTCCCACTTCACCCTCGCATGCCTACTCCTCCCCGTGCCCGTCTTGTTCATCTTCACTCGTCTCACCTGTATCCACGTCCTCCCCCTCCCCACCTCCTCACCCTCCTCACTCGCCACATCAGGATCCTTTTTTCCTCTCTCTCCCCCTCGGACCCCCTTCTAACACTCCTCACCCGCCACATCAGAAATATCATTGTAAACCTCCTCCTCTTCCATTCCTCCGAGAGAGAGCGCATTTCACGGGCGCCTGATTTGGGAACATTCGGCGGCGCGTTTCGAAGCGGGGGGTTGGCCCCCCCCCAACGCTCGGCGCCGTCGATCAGACCCAGGGGAACTCCCCTCCCCCCAAACCCCTCCGTCCCGAGCCCCCCCCCTCCCAAGGGGGGGGGGGGTCCCAAACCCCCCCCCCCTCCTCCAGCGCCGGCGCTGGCGGCCGCCAGCAGCGCCGACGGCGGGGACGCAGCGACAATGACCAGAGGCAGCCCAAAAGGGGGTCCCAAACCCCCCTCCCCTCCCCGCGCCGGCGCCGGCGCCGGCGCTGGCGGCGGCCAGCAGCGCCGACGGCGGGGACGCAGCGACGATTACCACCACTACCACCACCACTACCACCACTACCACCACTACCACCACCACCACCACCTCAACCCACCACCACCACTACCACCACCACCCCACCACACATCCACCACCACCACTGCCACAACTTCCACCACCACCACCACAACCACCACCACGACCACAATTCACCACCACCACCACCACAAAAACCCCAAACCATTGCCATCACCACCACAATCTACCACACCAGCACCACCACCACCACAACCACCGCAACAACCATCACCACTACCAGCACCACAACCAACCACCACCACCACTACAAACAACCACACCACCGCAACAACCGCTACCACCACCACCAGCACCACCTCCACAAACCACCGCCACCACCACAACCCACCACCACCACCACCACCACCACCACCACCACAAACCACCACCAAACCACCACCACAGCCCACCACCACCACCACCACAACCCACCACCACCAGAACCACAAACCACAATCACACGACCACCAAACCACCATCACCACCACCACCACCACCACCCTCCACCACAACCACCACCACCACCGCCACAAACCACCACCACCACCACCACCACCACCACCACCACCACAGCCCACCACCACCACCACCACCGCCACCACCTCAGAGAGGCCCCAAGAGACGCCCAAGAGGCGCCCAGGAGGCTGCACAAATGTCCTGCAGAGGCCCCAGAGAGCGCTCCGACGAGACCCCAAGAGGCATCCATTAGGACTCTGACCCAAAACCAAGACACGGTGGCGGAGCGTCGTCGTCGTCGTCGCCGTCGTCTTCGTCGACGCTCCCCGCCGCCGCCGCCCGCCGCCGCAGGCGCCGGCGCCGGCCCAGAAAAGGAAGTCGTCGTCCCCGCCCCCGCCGCCAGCAGCCGCCGAAGCAGGCGCCGGCCCGAGGAGTGGGAGAGAGGAGAAATAGGGGAGGAGGGGGGGGGATGGGGGCGTTCGACCCTCCCTCACCCTCCGTCACGGGAGGGGGGGGGTCCGGTTCGAAACCACCACCCCTCCAAGCGACCACAGAACGCGCTCTTTCATTCCTCCTCTCGTCCTCCTCCTCCTGCTCCTTATTTCCTCCTCCTCCTCCTTTTCTATTCCTTTCCTCCTCCACCCTTCCCCTCCTCCGTATTCCCCTTCACCCCGCGGCCTCCTACTGCCCGCGCACCCGTGTTGCTCGCCCATTCAGTCCCCCAGGAGGCCTCCCGGATGGCACCCTGTGCGCCAATATGGGCGTTGTACATGCTGCGGAGGCACGGGCAGGCGATGACATCGACGCTGTCCTTTCAATCGCCTGCTAATGGGGTCAGACTTCTCGGGGTCAGAATCAGCAAATGGCAAACCAAGGATTCAACAAACATTTGAAAAAAAGTACCAGCCCGGGCCAAGAATTTCAAAAGGCATGACCCAAGGAAAACAACTGACAAGCTCTGATCAACATACGGCCCCGAAAGCAACATCCTAGGAATTGAGGCTAACTTCTCCAGACCCCCAAAATGCTGAACCCCGTTAGCAGGCGAAGGATCCTTGCTGCACTGGTCGGTCACGGACCCGAGGACCTGGTAGAAGTAACAGGCGGCATGAGGATTCACTTTCGGATCTCCGCACGGAATTCTTGGCTCGGCGCCCCACCCGCGTCCCTGGCGCGCGGAACGGCGCGCGGAGCGCGCCAGGGGCGGCGCCGGAGGCGCCAACAGGGGGGTCAAGCGGCGATCCAAGAAACCCGCGCGGACCTCCGAAAATTTGAGTTTGCGCACCTTTCTTCAAGGGCTTAACGACTTCTGCCGTCCCTTGAATCGCGCTGGAGCGGCCAAGATCTGCTCCACATTTGTCTGGAAATCTGATCTACTTGGGTGAACCTAAATGCATCTGAGTTTACCTTGATTTATATCCGGCTTGCTCCCCACAAGTCGATTGGCGAGAAATCGTCAAGTCCGTAGGGATCGTTCTTCGAGGACCACTTGCAGCCCCTCGCGGAACAGCTGCCGGAGCGCCCGCGCGCAGCGGAAGCGCGCGGCGCCCGAGATCCCGGGCTGCGCGCGGTCGGCGACGGTCAGGGCGAGGGCCCCGTAGCTGCGCTCAAGCAGCTCGTCCCACAAGCGGACCGCGTCTGGTCGCAGCCACAGCGTTGCGCGCAGTCCCCGCGAGGCGCCTTTGGTTGACAAAGACACGACGTGGACTCTTTTGGGAGGAGGAGGAGAAGGGAGCGCGACCATAGAGCTATACCCGACTGGGCCACGATCGCTGTGCGAATCAGGTCTCCAGGCCAACCGGGAACACTACACGAGACGACCTGCAATAGGCAAACTCATGCACTGAACTGTGGCCTGAAAGAGAAATGAGTGAGACACAAACACACGATGTGGACTGCAACTTTACACCGGCAGTGATGTGGGCGACGTCAGCGGGGAATCAGCTCAGGGCGGGAAACATGGTCGTTGAATCGTCGATACATCGCCGATAAATCGGCATTAGGCCCCCGATAATGAATTCCCAAAGTCCTGGGCAGAGTGGGCTATGTGGCCAATCGGCGATCAATGGGCGACTGGGGGTCGATGCGTCCTCCAAGAGCTTCGCTCAAATTGCCAATGAAGCGGTAGTCGGAAAAGGTTCTAGCCGAAAACACGATGAACACACGTTCGAACGTTAAACGAGCCTGTTCGGAAGAATCAGTGCGAACGGCATCACAACACACAAGATCTGCTTGACGCGCTAAGTTTCCTAACCACCATGGGGGCTTCAGCGGGGACAAATTCGCGAAGCCGCCCCAACCGGAAAGTGGATCTTCTGTGCGCCAGCTTGTTCGCAACAATCGTGCAAAGCTGATGGCGAGCTCCGATGGCTGCTAACGCTCGAGTGGCGAATTGGCTCCGATCCTTCTGCTCCTGCTGCTGCTTCCGTCGGTTGGTGGGGCAAGGTGTACCGATGGTGTCCCTGAGTCGTGTCGTGATTCGCCAGGGAGGGGCGGGCGACGGCAGTGTCCCGTATGGTGCCTCAATGGTGCCTCATTAGTATCCACATGGTGTCCTGCAAGTGTCCCAGAGGTGCTCCGATAGCGCCCCGAAGCCGAATCGAGCGTGGCAGAAGAGCTCAAAGCACATATGAGCAAAACGTGAACATCCAACTATCGAGCAACTGCACATCGCACGAAATCCTGACCGTGCCCCGATGGCGTCCTGATGGTGAACCAAATCTAAACCACATGCGATTAACACGTCAATCAAATATGTATCAATTGCGCAACAATTCTCAGTGGCCTGGTGCTTCGCGTGATGCGTGGTGTCTGGTTGCCAAGAAGCCTCAATCTTGAAACGAACGCGACGCAAAATTGGTATCTATTCAATTCAATTGCGGATGATGAATCAGCATACGATTCCCTGCGCGATGTTTTGCATGGTGTCCGACGGTGACCCGGATGGTAATCGGACGCAAACCGCGCGCGAACTATGTTGGAATTGCCTCAACAATGGTGTGGACTGCATGATGGCCCGATGAGGCTCCGATGGCGTCCCGATGCTGAGCGGAATGCGAAACAACTGCGAATCTGACATCAGTCTAATATGAGCCAATTGTATGCAGCATGGTGTCAAGCATGGTTCCCCGAACGGTGCTTGACAGGCAGAACTGAAGAAGTCCAACTGCCTGGGGGGATGTTGATAACATGTCGTCGGCGAGTATCGCACCGTTCTCGCTGAGACCATACCGTGGGACCCTATGCAGGGCTTGAACTGAACAGTGTTTCCTTTTCCGTTTTCCTTCGTTCTGCCTTGGTTCCGCCTTTACTGCAAGACGAAAGCATAACGATGACGGTCCACAAAATCGCCTAGGCACCGTTTACCTCGCGCCCTGGTCCTTTGAATACGGCCCAGCACGATGGGAGTTGACACGATTGGGGCCCACGATTAGGGTACCACGTAAGAGTCCAACCTGATAGGGTCCGACCAGTAGATAGTGCCCCACGAGGTAGGGCCCCATGCGACAGGGTCGCACCGCATATACTGCACTCGTAGGGGTCCACGCTGGTGTCATGTCCCCGTTGTGTCCCGATGGTGTCCTGGTGGGGGCCCGACAGTACATCGAACGCGCAACAAATGGGGCGTGTGCACATGAATCAAGACGCGAAACATACTCAAATCAACTACGATGGTGCTCCGATGGTGCCTCACAAATGTTCCGACTTCCCCGGAAACCGATGTGAATGCAAATCCATCGCGTAACTTCCGTGATACACCAGAAGAACTGATGCAGTGAGGAAGCCGAACAGTCTTACGTTGTCTGTGGGTGTGTCGCTGAAGCGGTGCTCTGCGATACGGACTCTTGCCCCAATGTGTATCGCGGTTTCGTGTCGTGCCGACTTCGGCGTTGGTTCCTGACACCGCTCGGACTGTTCGACCTTGAACGATCGGCCGCTTCCGAAACGTCAGATCATTCAACGCCGACCGATTCTGCGCCGCCGCTGGTCCACACGCCACAAAAAACCGACCGTCTCGCCGTCGACCCGCGCCCCGCCGGGCGACCCGCCCCAGCGACCCGCCCCAGCGACCCCCACCGCGACCCGCCTGCGCGAGCCGATCCGTCTGCGACCGTCGCCAGCGGCCCGCGCCCGTCGGGACCCGCCCGCCGCGACCCGCCCGGTGACCCGCCCAGCGGCCCGCCTGTGCGACCTGCCCCACCAGCAGCCAGCGGCGGCCCGCGGACGACCTTCCACGGCCTGCGCCCAATGCCCGACGCAGCCCCTCGCCCGCTTCGCGGCCCGCCCGGCGGCCTGCGCATCGAGGCGTCGACCCACCGCAGGGTCTGCCCGCGACCCGCGTTCGCCGGGAGCAGCGGGAGCAGTGCTTCCCGCGCCCCGCGCCCCAGACTCTTGCCCGCGACTGCGACCTCTGAGTGCGAGCCTAGCTGGCCGAGGCGGGGGGGATAACAGACTCACAGTTTCGACCAACTGAGGATTATTCGGGGAGCGCCAGTGAACTCAAAAAGGATCCGATGCAGTAAGTCTACAAAGCAAGTGGGGGATCGTCCCGAAATTGTATGTGACGGATGCCACAGCGCTGCGCCTAAACAACGAGGTGGTTCAAGAGAGAAAGCAGCTGTCGCAGGACCCTGCGTCGGGGGGTGTCGAAAGAGGGGAGCGTCAAAGAGGGGGTTCGCGAACCACGGCCCGAGACATGTGCGCGGACCAGAGAAGGATTGAAATATGAAGAGCGGTAACATGAAACCTGGGGAGATATCATATTTCCGGTCGCGATATCCATTCAGCCCTTGTTCGCAGCCGCCATTGGGCGACCCTGGATGTGGGCAGCCACAGGAAAGGCTAGCAGGCAGGCTACCACTGATGGCCAGCAATCCCCTGGAAGCCACCAGGCAATCTGCTATCTGTCGCACGACTGTCCTGACAAGCACCCAAACAGCTAACATGCAGGGCCGATGCTTTTCGGCAGAATAAAGAACTTCAACAGTGCGAGCACTGCGCTAGGAGTCCATACGGCTGCGTTGCGAATCGTTTATGAACGACGCGATGTCGGAATGACATGGTCGCGCTGCGCGTAGTGATGACGTGGCGTCTACATGCAAACTGGCAGAAAATGCCAAATGACTACATGCAAACAAGACCAGAACCAACCCCGAACCACGGCACGTCAAACGCCGTTGAAAACAGGGCAGATACACAGCACATGCATCATGAGAACCCCATCAAATCCACATGCGGGCAGCGACGCGCATCGATTGCAACTCGAATGCAATAGAAGAGCTACCGAATGTGGGCCAATTGTGACAGAAGAATGCGACAGAAGCTCTACTGAAGTGGAACTCGAATGCGACAGAAGCGCTACCACTCGTGGAACAGCTCTCAGCCCCAATCGCCCTATCGGCCTTGCGGCTACTCCGGTCAGTATGTGGTGTCTACTTGTAGGATGCCGCGCCAAAATAATGATGATGTGGTCCAATCTTGCTCCGTTGCGGCTTGCTCGTCAAGATATCGACCGTGACATCTTTATGTGGGAAGATGAAAGCGGGTGGAGGTTGGCGGAGCGGACTATGACTACTGCGGTGGCGAACTCCATGCGAGGCGCCAGAAGAAGCGGAGAGCCCCCGCCATGTCCCAAACGAGATTGAACCTGACTGCGGGGGGTAGTCCTCCCATGCGGGTCGCTTGCTGGACGTCAGCCAGCTACGCTGCGAACCTCCAGGCAGCTGCAACACAAGCCTGGACTGGCCCAAAGCCCGCGATCGGATCGAGTCGTGCATCCGATGGGGGGGGGGAATGCCCGAAAGCCGCGCGAGGCGCCGGACAGCGCAGCCACAGTGCGCACCGGCAGCGCGCGGGCGACTGCGAGGACCACGTCCACCGCCAGCGGCCCCAGCTGTCCCTGGAGGCGTCCGCAATCACACTGGTCGAGCCGATCTGCAAAACGAGCAAATCTGCTAAGCGAACCGAGACGAGCCGATCATGCAAGAAAAGTGGCTGGACCGGACGGATCAACACGATCAATGCAAATAATACTTCGATCGGCCGAACTCGATTCCATCTTGTTATGGAACCGGCCGTGCGAAACGACTCTCCGGGACAGATCCCTCAATTTTTTGGGGGGGAGCATTTGCTTACAGGTGTACCTCGCAACTTGGGCCAATTGAGCGCTGAAGGCACAAAAGGGCCAATGAGAGGCCAATATAGGCGCAAGTTGGTTCAACGGGGCCGAAAAAACCCAAACATTACAGATTTGAAAGAGTCGAGAGTGAACCTTGGCCCAAGATGCATTCAGGAGGGTCGCGAGATAATCTCAAGAGACTCGCGGGTCTCAAGAGGCACCTACCTTTGTCAGAGTGAGGGGGTCCAGCGGTCTTACACCGTCCCTGGGTGCGCGGCTGAAATGGGATTCCGCGGAACAGATTCTGAGTGTTCACCACCTGGCGGGTTGGGGTAGCTAGACTCGAAGAACATGTGTGATTATAATGCATGTTAGCACAATGGCACAAAGGGCCCCCTAGAGGTCAAACGCCAGCGACTGGCGCATATACACACGTGACACACGCACTATCTCACGCCCGTGAAACTTTATCACAAGCTAGCCGGCAAACCGCGAAGTACCGCTGGTCTCCGTAAGCCTCTAGGGGCAGCGACAGGAGTATCCCCAAGTTGGGATTACTCAAATAAGAGCAGTCAAGGCATCAGTTCACTTACCTCCCCGCTTGGATAGCGTTTATTCTGGCCCTCGCCGGTTACTCGTTGGCCTTATTCAAGGTAGATTCCGGGTCTGGAGTCACATCGTACGAACTTGTACGTGAGAACTTAACAGGAACATATGTAGGCATATTTTTCGTAAGACAATCCACAGCCATAGTGCTTGGATCAACCCACCCAATCTTATCACATATTGTGCGCGGGTGCAAAATCTCTGCTTATTCCGTTCCGTCCGTCCAAATAGCTTGCCTTAAACTACACAAATCGATACTCCAGCGCTTATCTTCTGTCTTGCCCATGGTTGGTGCTATGAGATGTTCTTCGAGTTTTTTGTATAATCCGTCATCCACAAGTGTCTCATAGACATGGCTGGTTTCTCTTCCCAGTTGGTTGGTAGCTTCTTTCCTGAGCCAAGGTCACCTCGCGCATCTGCGATGGCGGCGCGAATGCGCACACCAGATTCTACACCCCATAAACAAGCCAGGGCCTCTGCTTGTAGCGTAGATTTGCACGCTCGTTTGCTAACCTTGCTAGATTTACACATAGGTTGAACATTGTCGCTGTTCCCCTCGATGAATCCAGGCCCAGCGAGTCCATTGAACCTAGCCCTCTGTGATCTGAGAGGCTCGGTCCTGCCCTTGGCTACATCGTCTTCACTTGCCCAGCTGGCATCAGCAACAGTAAGAACTATCATTTCAGGATTCTACATCACAGCTCCACCTTTGAACGCTAACCCGCAATCAGCGGACTGAGTTGTTTTTTTCCAATGCGCGGTTGGCTTCCTTGAAATGAAGTACCTCAGCGTGGCGCACTGCAGTCTGCAGTCAATTTACACGATACACTATCTCAGGTTTACACTGGCGCGTAACCCATGACAAAGCACCAACGACCGATCTAAACTGTGCTATCTCGCCATCGTTACTGCTTCTCGTAAGGGGGCTGCCCCTAGGATAGGATGCAGCCTATGTCCGCGGCCGTGATGCCCGGCGCGAAATCTTCATCTTGAACAACTTCTAAGCCGCAATAACGGCAATTGTCCGACTTGATCTCACGAGTATCAAACCCCGCTAACACCGAAACGATGACCTTCTGACTCTCGTCATCTGCAGCCGACAGTATGTCAGCCACATGTGTGCCCAACATACATGTGATCTCGTTCTTGTCATTGTGGCTACTAAACAACACAGGCATGATACGATTCTCCTTCAAACTTTGAGCTTCGAACCTTCCGCGAATTTTCTTCCAAAAACATCGCCCTGCGTCGCGCGCGTCGTAGACGGGCGCTCGCGCGATCAGTGCTCCACCGCCCGGTGCTCCTTCGAGTCCGTCGGGAGGTGGCTTGAGCAGCATGAGACGGTCCAGCTCTTACCCCTGGAAGTACGCCGATGTATATCGGCACCTTTGAAAACTTCTTTGCGCCCGCAGCCCATGACACTATCAGCCATAACCCTTCAAATTCGCACGTTGGTGAATCCGTGCGGATGACCAACGGCTCTTCCAAATCTCCATGCGCGACAAGTCTGCTCTTGCGCTGCGGCGCAACCGGAGGTCCATTCGGTCTACGGAGATCCTCATTCTTACCAATGTCAATCCATTGTGTAGGCACCATGCGATATCCTTCTTTCTGAAGACTTTGCAGTTTCACGGGATCACTAGGTACGGCGGCGTTAAACTTCCGCCATTATCCCCAGTCGTCTTGTCTTGCGAGTCTGAAGCCGCTTTTCACGTCCTCTGGTTCCCGATGGTACACTAGAGTCTTTGCGCGCTATAGTTTCTTCTTGGGTTGCGGCGTATTTGCGGTGCGTGCACTAAAGAATCCGACAAGCGATTCATGTGACTTAACTGCTAGTGTAACTTCTCTACTTAGTAAGAGATCCATGCCCAAGCCTGATGTTCCGGCTCTGCGCATGACCCCGAACAGCGGGTTCGCTGGTTCGGGAAATCAGAAACCCTTCCCGTACGACCATCGGCATTCTCGACTCTTCAGCGCATCACCTCGCTACGACTCTGCATGCCGTGCGGGGCGTCGTCTAGTGGCGACCTCTGGACGGGCGTGCGAATCACTTGTGACGATCTCGACGCGGGCGGCGCAGGGAACGATCATTCCGTCTTCCAGTTCATCTTCTTCCATTTGGCGAAATCTTTCCTCTATTGCAGCAGCTCGCGATTCTGGCAGATCGCGGCGCTCGCCCACGAACAAGTGCACGTGCCCGTCTGGAGGTGCATACCTCGACACCACCAGCATGATGCTTAGAGAGATGTTGGTAAGCCAGTGCTTCCGCCGCTGTACACGGTCGAAGCCTGTCGATAGCCGCGCAGACTGGCACGCCCTCTGTGATCACCCATGCGTTTTTAACCATCGAACCCAACGACGCGAGAATCAATGCCCCACTTAGCGGTGACCTCGCGGTCAGTCGGCCTTCTTTACGAAAACATACTACATTACCTACCTGATACTCACGAGCTAATGGCGTTGCCTCTCGGAGAGCGGCCCCTGCCGTCCTACTCCCGAGGTCGAGTTATGCGAATGCTTTTCTGGCAGACGCCCGGATCGCAGCCTGGCGAGAGAACTCGTCGGCTCCGTCCTCTGCAACATTCGCAAGCACTCCTAAGTCGAAGGCCTCCTCGTCGCCGAATTGACTCCCTGGGGCACGAGGCATCTTTCCGCGTGCCCACTGAGCAGGCGCAAATCCACCGACTCGTGACATCTCACTCTTCGCGTTGTCGACTTCCGACGCGGTTGAGATGACTTCATCGAGACCGGCAGCGTTCCTTTGTGCACCACCTTCTTGAATATATTCTTCCAGAATCCACCGTGTCTCTCGGTGCGGCCACTATGCTCGGGAGATTCGACTCCGGCGTCGCGGAGATCGATTCTTTGACTCTTAACCATTGCAGAATCACTCCTCTCTCTTGCAGTCCACGGTCCAACACCATTCTTTTGGGCTCACCTGCCCATGCACACCAGCGTTGCTGAAGTGCAGTGAGACATGCTCTCGAAGATGGCGTGCCACCTCGCTGTCTGACAAGGATCACGCGCAGGAATGTTGTACCCTGGCACACCATATTTTAAACGTGGAACGTTCACTGTTGTCTTTTACCTCTAGGCAGTCGATGCCGATGCCGTGGTTGAAGCAGAACTTCTTTGGTAAGGCAACCTTGCGAGTCTGTGCTAGCGCCTTGTGATGATCGCAAAACTCACAGCGATAATTCTTGGCGGCTTCAATGTAATCCGATGACATATTGGAGATTCTCGATAGCTGCACAAAAACACGATTAGGCACATTACCAAACTGTCTGCGAAGTCGCCTGATGGCGATCCGTGCTCGGGGAAGGATTTTCAGCCATGCTTGCCTTCTCTTCCCTTTATGCATCGGCTCTCCAGTAGAGACGTCGTCATCACCGATGGTCGCGCCCATATCGTCCCGAACTCTCTCCTCTGCGGCTTCAGCAGGGAAGGTTTATCCAGTGTACCTCTCTGACCTAACGCTCTGAGGAACTCAAGGGGTTTCTGACTCTCAATGTCCGCGTCTGACTCGAGGTACTCAGCGCACTAGCAACCTGGAGGTTTGAGCAACCGGGCTCACGACCAAGCGCAACGGTTAGAGGGCCACTATCGGGAGCCAAACCAGAAAAGCAATCATTAACAAAAGTGTGGTTTGATGATGATGTGTAGGCGACAATGAGATCAGGATTGCGCTTGACGGTGTCTTTCGCCACCGAAGGCCCCCCACTCTGAACGCACCACCGTGTCGCTCAAGACTGGGCAGGCGAAAGCGATGCCGACGACGTGGAGCAGCGCCCCGGCCAGGTTGGCCCCCACTCGTCCGCGAAGCGGATCGGTGTTCCTGATTGCTTTCTCGGCGATCTCCTGGTCGGAAGCAGACGCGCCCGGTGCAGAGAGCTCGGCAACACGCGCGGATAGAAGCTCATCTTGCGCACTGATGCCACGCAAACCAGAGCAATATTTGGCACTGCTCTTATCATTCATGGTCGACATATCATTCTGATCCAGCTGCAATGGCGTGCGCAAGTACGATGTTCCGTCGACGCGAACCCTCGGAGGCTGTACAGAGATTGCTACTCGATCGAACTCCTCAGCATCCACAGAAGCACTCATGTCCACGCGGTCTTCCATGCGCTTCCAGGACTTGGCGCCCCTGGAGCGACCCATAGAACCCTTCTTCC